CACACATTAACTCAAAAAGAATCAACAGACCTAAGTGTAAAGCTGAACCTATAAAGCATTTAACAGAAAATATAGGAGGAAATCTTCACAACCTTTGGAAGGCAGAGATTTCGTGGATAGGACACACACAAAAAGCACAAACCATATAAGAAAAATTGTACTTCGTCGAAATTAAAAACTTCTGTTCTTCATAAAATACAAATAAGAAAATGAAAACACAGGTCACAAACAAGGATAAAAACAAAGGACTTATGTCCAAAATATATAAAGAACTTTTATAACGCAATAATAAGAAGGCAACCCAATAAGAAAGATATTGTTTGTTGGTCAAATGGCCAATATTCACATAAAAAAAATATTCAACACACCATTCACAAATGGAAAAATGCAAATTAAAACTATGGTGAGATACCAACCCATGCCCACTAAAATGGGCAAAATTAAGACTTGAGAGTAACTGGCAAGAATATGGAGTACTTGGAACTCTTAACACATTGCTGTGTGAAATGGTACAACCAGTTTAGAATACTATTTGACCATGTCTTACAAAGTTAAACATGTCCATATCATATGATCTAACAATCTGGCCCTAGATATAGATCTAAGAGAAATAAAAACAATATGCCCACAAAAAGACATGTACATAGCTACTATATTTGGAACAGGCCCAAACTGGGAACAATCCAAACGTACATCAACTGGTGAATGAATGGACAAACAAATTTTGGTACATCTATACACTGAAATACTACTAGGCAATAAAAGGGAATATGTTACTGAGATATGCAACAGCTGAATCTCAAAACCTTATTTTGAACAAAAGAATTCAGACACAAAAGGTTATATGCCATATGATTCCATTTATATGAACTTCTACAGTGGGCAAAACTAATCTAGTGACAGAAGGTAGAGAAGAGGTGGCCTGGGGCTGCTGGGGGAGGGTTGGCTGCAAAGAATCTTTTGAGATAAAGGAAATGTTCCATATTGGAATTGTGGTGGTGGCTACATGGGGGTATATATTTGTTAAAACCCAAACTGTACGCTTTAGAATGCATGAATTTTACTGTATATAACGTTGATTTGGGGGGAAAAAAATTAAGGTTGTGTTTTGCTTTTTCACAATGATGAAATCTCTATCACTCAAGAAGATGGCTAGAACCTCACCAAGTACTGAGCACTGAACTGAGCACTTAGTATGTATGGCAATACTTACTATGGCAATCTATCAGGCCCTTTCATTAATTGTCTCAATTAAGCCTCACACCAGCCTTTAGGATGGGTATTATTATCACCCAAAGCTCAGCCTGACTGAGTCAAACAGGGCTTTCCTCAGCGAGAACTCAGGCTGACTCCTGTCTCTTCTCTGAGACCAAACACGTAACAGCACAAGGCCCCAAAGTCACACAGCTAGCAAGAGAAAAGGTCAGGATTCAAACTCAGATCTAACCGCCTCAAAACCCTGCGCTTTCATAAACATCTGGGTACCATCCCCAGAGAGGAAATAAACCCAACCAGTGCAGAGGTCACACACTTAAAGAGCATGACCAAAGTCAACTATGATTTTAAAACTTGCAGCCACAGCAACTATTTCTAGTCACAAAGCCCTTGGTATGACTTAAAGACTGGATTGGATGACAATGTCTGTCATTTACCCAGCTCGTCATGTGATACAGTGCGTGGTCATTCATAAAACATAACAGAAGTTAATATTTACAGAATTCCCAATCCATCTGAGCCACAACATGAGCCCTTGAGTAATCCTAGACTTCCACGCCAGGACCAGCCTGTCAGGGAACCTTAGGACCTCTAGGTGCTAAAGACCTTGGGGGCAAATAACTTGACCATGAATAACCCAGAGAGTTGTCAAGAGCTAAGACAAACCTCCCAACGTACTGTCAACACGCCATCCTCTGGGAGCCCACATGACACCCCAGCAGGGCTCAATGCATCCTGTCTCACTGCTCAAACAGGAGAGAGGAGAATATTATGGCCTCACCCTTCCAATCACAGCCAAGAGGATCTGACAGAGTTAGCCAAGCAGGGGAGGGGGTCACCCAAGACTCCAGTACGCTCTGCAGCTCCTTTACAGCTGCTGCTCCCCTGGGTGACCACACAGTATATCAGCTCTGGAGTCTGTTAGGGCAAGGAGAACAGGCTGGAGGTGGGACTTGGTTGCTATCCTGCCTCTCCCATTAATTTGCTGTGTGACATTGGATGAGTCACTGAACTTTCCTGACCCTTGGTTTCCTTTTGGGCACTATTTACACCCATCCTATATACCTCAGGAATGGCTCTGGGGATCAGCCAGGAGGAGAGCTGTATGAGAAAGTAATTTGTAAATTGGGATACTAGTTATTATGTTATTATCATCATCAACAGGATTAGGCTCTAGGCTCATGCAAAAGCCATAGAAGCAGCTGCCGGCTCACTGTGGTTTGGGGATGACGGTTGTTTCATCGGAAAAATGGAGATAATAATACATGACCTGCTCAAAGCAAGGGGTTGTACTCTTTGACAGTCACTTCCAACTTGTAAGTCTATGATTCTATGGTTTCAAAGACCCCAAGAAGATTGGCCTCACCTGCTCTCCTGATGTTTGAACTTTCTTTTATCAAGATGCCAAAACATTTCACCTTATAACCAGAAATGAGACTTCAAATTCAAATGTCCTGGAGAAGAGAGAAGCAATTGCTTCACATTCTCACTACGTGTGGATAACTGATACAGACTCCTCCCAGAGAGCAAATTTTGATGGGAAGCTGGAAATCCTGGCCTGACTGAGTCAAACAGGGCTTCTTCCTCAGTGAGAATTCAGGCTGAATCTTGTTTGTTCTCTGAGACCAAACACGTGACAGCACAAGGTCCCAATTTTAGCTTATCCTCTGAGTATTTGTCCTGCTCTCCAGACTGGGGTGATGGTGGCTTGAGTGTACTTTGCTAGCTCTGCCCAGCCAGACTCACCTGGAAGAGGTGGCTCCAATACTCACGTGACCCCTCTCAGCCTTAACCCAGGCCTAATCTACCATCTCCCCTGTCATTTCCAAGGCTATCCCCTTGCTCGCAGCCCTCAAATCCTAACCCTATGCCTTGCAGCAAACTGCTTTCTCTTCCAACCATGCCAGCCAGGGTGATCCAGGCCTCCTGGAGCCCCTTTCCATCCCACCACCTGGTCCCTACCCCATCCCCAACCCTAAAACCAAAACAAAACAAAAGAATTGTGAAAATGAGCTGGTGTCCAAAAGGATGCAGGCACCATTTGTTCTCCTTCACCCTCTCCATTCTAGCTCAGAGACCCCTGTCAGGACTGGGGTATCAAGATACTGTGCCCGGTCTGTGTAATAATAATAACAATCATCATCATCATCATCACTAGTATTAGTTGATCATTTACTATGTGCTAGATATTGTCCTGTAATACATGCACTAACTCACATAATCCTCATGTGAAATAGTTACCATTATCCTCATTTTACAGATGAGAAACTGAGGCACAGAGAGGTTAAGTGACTTGGCCAAGAGCACACAGCTACCAAGTGGCAGGGGTGGGAACAGAACCCAGAGTCTGTGCTGTATTATATCCTGCCCACTAAAGCAACAACAGTGACTTCAAGCCTGAAATCATCGGGAAACAAACGTGATTGTGCACTGCTCTTGGACTGGATCTAAAGGCTCAGTCATATCAAGTTCATCCCCTTTGTAAGGGGGGTAATTGAGGCCCAGAGACTGAGTGGTCTTCCCAGGTCACCAGCAAGCTGAGCCCAGAGCTAGGGTCTGGGCTGACAAACCCTCCCCCTTTCCTTATATTTCAAGAAGCCATTGCCCACAGCGAAGGCACGTCTTACGCAGGGGTCATGACCTGGAAATTAGCCCACAGCCCTTAGTCCAGCCTGCATGGGACACCTCAGACCCTTACTTGCCCCTCCCTGGTAGGTCCTTAAACACAGTTTCTGTCAGGTCACTTGCTTGGTGTTTTCTTGCCTTTTGCTGTGGTCAGACTGTAAACCCCACCCTGATTTGGGGTGAAGATCACAAAAAGGGGCATGATTGCAAGTAACAGACCACACAGTTGGAGCCAGCTTTGGATGGAGGTCAGAAAGTGCCTTCACAGCAACGACCCCATCTCCTGTCCCAAGTCCCTGCAATTCAGAGTCAGAGGAGGGAAAACTGCCCTGTAACTCGCGCTCCAAACACTCCCCACTCCCGCCCCACTCTCTCCCCAGGTGTCAGCCCAACTCTGATCCTCCTTTTCCAAATATGCACACCGCCTCCCTGCTCACCCTCTTGCTCATTCTCCTGAGAATTCGCCCGACTCCAGGTCTCAGATTTGGTCGGGTGTCCCCAGCTGACAGTTCCCTCCCGCCTCCAGCCCACACCACACGGTCCGCAGGGTCCTCCATTCATCTTGGATGTGCGCGCTTTCCTCCCCTAGCCTCCGTAACAACCCCCCCACCCACTCACCCAGCCCCCCCGGGTCTCCGCTCCGCTGGGTGGAGGCAGAGGGTGGGGAAGAAGCCCGAGGCAAAGATTGTCGCTAAACAGAGTCCATGACGGGGGCAGACAGGGCGCCGAGTGAGAACTGGAGAGGGACTCAGAGAGCGGGGAGGGACACCTGGACAGGCAGGGACAGAGCGCGTCAGGGCGAACGGGGTCAGGGTCCGAGACGCGTGCGGAGTCCGGGAGCTTGGACAGGGGTCTGAGATGGGGCGGGCAGAGCGGGATGAGGTCTCGGACAGGGAGGGTGAGAAGTGCGGCAGCGAAGGGTACCAGAGCGTCGGACGCTAGAAGGTGCGATGGGGGTCTGAGCCCGGGAAGCCAGAGACCGAGCTGGGGGCGCGAAATCCAACCGCGAGGTGGGGCTCCGTGCCGCCGAAGCTAAGGTCTGAGTTCGAGATCCGACCGCAGCCGGGGCCAGAGGGAGGGAGAAGCTGGCTCTGCAGTAGCCGGAGGAGGCGGAGACAGGTGGGCTGGGGGCTCCGGCGGGGGTCGCGGCGGGCACTAACCCGAAGTAGGCGGCGGCGACGGCGGCGGGCAGCGCCAGCAGGCAGAGCGCGGCCAGGGCCAACGCGGGCGGGGGGCGCATGATGCTGGTGGCTCAGCCCCTGTAGCATCTCCTCGCGCCGCTCAGCGCTCGCAGCGCCGCCACCAGCAGCCCGCGGGGCTTTAAACACGGGCGGGGCGGAGCGGGAGTGGAGGAGGGAGCAGCGCTGGCTGCACCCCGGGGCGGCGAGCCCCCCGCCCCATTGGCCTCGCCGGCCTCGCCCCGCCCCGTTGCGGGTGGGGCCGCCGCCTCGGGCCCGCCCCCGGCCCGCCCCCATCTCCTCCTCCAACTCTCCCCAGGTGAGAGCTCACCTGACGCCTCGCCCGCCCGGGAACGCGGCGGCGGAACGTGAAACCCCCAGGGCCTGGAGAGGCGAGGATGGGAGGACGAGGCGGGGATCAGGGAGTCTGTGCCTCTCTCTGGGGCGGGGTGGAGGGACATGCAGAATTCTATCCTCGGAGGAACAGGGTGTGGGGGCAGAGGAGGGAGGCGCCCAGAGTCTGCGGAGGAACGGTGTCCTGTCCGCTCTCTTGCCCGGCGGGTGCGCGTCTCTGCGCAGGGCCCGGGACTCTTCGAGGGCAGGGCCACGTCTTGACACACAGCCGCTCTCCCGGGGCGGGAGATCCACGTGCGATGGCTGGGAGGACCCTCTTGCAAAGGGGGTCCTGGTAGATTCCTTAGAGCGGAACGGGGAAAGGGAGCCCTCTTTCTAAATGGGAGCCTGTCAAGGGTGACGTGCACAGTGGGCCTCAGTGGGCACTTGACAACGTGCTGCTGATGTTCCTGAGATAAAAAAGTCCAGAGTCTCTGGTCAGTGGGGCAGGCAGAGCAGGGATGGGAGTGGGAGGCCAGGGATGGGCCTGTTTTCTAAAGTGTGTAGATGCCAGAACCTCTGTCAGACAGGATGGGCATCTCCAGGGTTGGGCCACAAAGCTCTGTCTTGCTTATTCTTTTTTAAAGCTTAACCCCGATTCCTGTAGCGAAGGTGCAGTGATCAAGGCAGCAGGTGGCACCAGTTTAGGAGGGAGACACAACAAATGACCCAAGCAAGATTTAAAATGTCTTTGAGAGTCTTGAACACTGGGTCAAATCAAGCAAAACAAAATATACATAACTTGCCCTGAATGTCAAGGTCTGCATGGCATGTTAAGTTACCCCAAAATCAGCCATGCATATAGAACATCAGGTGACAGTGACCTTAGCTTTGCAATAGACAGTGGCGTGATTGCGGGCTGGGAGACTGGTAGGAAGATGGCAGCTATGACATTAGGCAGTGTGAGCAGAGGAGCACACCCCTCCCCATAGTGAGGCTCTCTGGGCTCAGTTTCCTTGTCAAATGAACAGAGTGATTAGATAATGCATGGTCTTTTAACAACTATGCCAGCCCTATCAAATCTATGGTTCTATTTATTGAGGCGCACGGCCCAGTGTGGTGGGTAAAGACCTGGAGTCAAATCATGTGAATATGAGCCCCAGATATGAAATAGGGAAGATGAGAAATACCTCACGGGATTTTTGTGCAGATAAGATAATGCCAAATGCCTAGCTGGTGCTACCACTCAATATCGGATGTTGTTATAACTAACTGCAAGCAGCACCAGTGATGTGCTGGTGAGTGTTTGCATGCTTTGGGGGGGGGTGTAGGTGGGTGTCTGATTTGTATTATTTGCTGATTTCTGTGCTGAAAATATTCCCACCATGTCTGATTTCAAGCTACCAAGGTAGTGTCATCCCTGATCTCTGGATTTGGAAGAGGTTGGCATAGTCATCTCTGCAAGCCAGTCTGAGTCAGCTCCAACATATCATCAGTAAGACCTTGAACCAGACTCAATGAGGCTCAGAGGAGGGGAGGCCAAACTGGACCAGCATGAGTCAGAGAGGTGGCCCCAGCCATGCCCAATGGGCACCGATTGCAGGCAGGAGAGGAGAGAGCAGGTCCAGCTTGGGCTGCCCCAGCTGCCCATCCTGTCTTCATGCACATCTGCACATGGCACACACACAAGCATGCACAAGCATGCATGTGCTGGGAGAAGGTGAGGGGTGAGGGGAAGCACATTTTCCCCAAATGACACATTTTCAACATTTCATAAAAGTTACATGTTGACATCGGATGGATAAGGCTGTGATGCAAAGAAGTTGGAGGAAGCACCAAAGAGTCAATGAAGGTGTCAATGGTTGCACACTGAGATACATTTAGAAAATATCCAGATGGATGTTCTTGGGCCCCCATCAGCCAATGGCATGGACCCCACCCTTGGGCTCCTTCCTCCTGATGTTAGAACCATGCTTCTCTCTGCCTGCTGGGGGAGACCCCCAGCGTGCCCATGGAGACTTCAGAGTTGTGTTTCTGTCTTCTTGGTCAACGGAGCTTCATGGAACTGCCCAGGTGGCAGCTGCTGTTGCTGCCATGTACAAGCTTTGTGTGTGTGTGTGTGTGTGTGTGTGTGTGTGTGTGTGTGTTCCTGGCCCACCACATGATCTCACTGAAGGCTCACACCCCCTGTGAGGTTGAGGCAATCATTATCTCTATTGCACAGATGAGGAAACAGAGGCTCAGAGAGCTTAAGTAGCTGGGGCATGTGACCCAGCTGTAAATAGTGGAAGCAGGAATTGAGCCCAGCTCCAGTGCGACTGACACTGGATGTGGCTCTTAATGGGCTGTGGCTGGCTGGGAGCCACCCAGGCACAGCCCGACTCACATTGACCTTTGCATAATTCATCCTGGTGGAACATCATGTACCTGCTAAGTTCTGACCCTCAAGTGAAGAGGGGGAGATGGCAGTGAAAACAGATCATCTCCACAATTGTGGTATTGTGGGATCCTTGAGGAAAGGCATGAGGCCCTCAGGACTTGTAACCTTGTACCATAAATGGTTTGCGGCTCCCAACGCCCCTTCTGCCCTCTGAGCTCCTCAAAGGCAGGCCTGAGTTGTATTTCTCTCTGTATGTCCAGAGCCTGGCACAGGGCCCAACACATAGTAGGTGCTCAGGAAATGCATGTTGCCAGCTTATAACCTTGATCTGTGGCCTTTTTATGGGGCTGCAGGGGTAGAAAGTGTCATACTGACACAATGCATGCTCACAGAAGCACCCCTTCCCACGCTCAGACACATGCTCCATCACACACACACGCGCGCGCGCACACACACACATACCCCCCACACACACACTGACACTCTACAACACAAGCCCAGGCATTCAGTGGCACACAGACACCCCCACACCTCCCCCATGAATATCTAAATTCCTAGGCAGCCCCACAGCTGCTCCTGGACCCACACGTTCACACAGGTATGCAAAAGAAGCATTCTTAGACATTCACATGCAGCTACCTGTCTCCATCAACCAGCCCAAGGCAGCCACAAGGGGATGGAGTCCTCCCCTCCCTCCGCAGGTACAGGTACACACACACACACACACACACACACACACACACACACACACATTTTGGAGGTTACAAAC